TGCCTTGAAAATTAACGCATTTTTTTTACCCATCGGGAGAAACTATAGAGGTCAGTCGTAGACTTGTAGTTTAAAAAAAATCGAAATCGGTGTTAAAACACAACTACTGAAGTAAAGGATTTTGGCAACACCATGCTTGTATGCTATACTGATTCGTATGCATTACATTGAAGATTCTGGAAACACCCAGGTTCGTATGCTGGCATACAGACCTGCGAAATACAACATTTGATTCAATATTGGCCGTTCTGCATACGCCAGGTTCGTATGCAGGCATACAGACCTGCGAAATACAATGTATAAATTAAATGTAGACTTTAGCATACACCAGGTTCATATGCTGGCATACAGGCCTGAGAAATGCAAGTTAATTTATTAATATAAGTTCAGCATTCACCAAGTGTTCAATATGCCAGATTCTCGATTTTCAAGTGTTTGATAAAAAGAAAAACGTGTTTTCCTTTATTTTTCTCGCTTTTGCATACGTTTGTCAGTTTGTTTTCGATCTATGATTTTGACTGTCCCTCTGGTATCTTTCGTCCCTCTTTTGTCTTATGAGCAATAACTCGACCTATTTGAGTACGAATTATGGCGAATGACCGTGAATGAGAATTTTTAATTTTAGATGAGAACGTATTAAATCCATAGTTTTATGAATGTGGGACATACTTCTGAACTGTTCTACTGTCAGAACGGTGATGACAGGCGGGTCATAATGGCATTGTCATAGACATACGATAAACAACAACACTACTACTAGACAACAACTTCTTTGAAAAATCATTGCTCCAATCAAATTTGAATTTGATATTTTGCGTCATAACCGTTGAAAATGCGTTATAGTGTACGTTTTCTTTCTTCTTTAGAAAAAAAAACGTCCTTAGAAACGTCATTATATGAAGGAAAGTCAATGTACTACTATCATGACTATATTGTAATCTAATTATATAACTGATGAATAAACAGAAAAAAAGTCAATACAATTATATATATAAATACTTGGAACTTTTTGAAGAATATAAGTTATCCGAAATATTTAACATTTGTTCATAAATTTAGTTTTATTGGTTGTGTTTTATCCTTTTATCCTTGTTATGGATTATATTTTGTTGTGCACTGAATCATAGTTATTGGATTCATCGCCCCGTAAGATTGATCGCTATTATTTCGACATTTTATATATATACTTGATCAAGACATATTTTGAAGTTGAATCAACACGTGTTACTCTACACATAGAAATGTATAACGGCTTATTGAATGTCGGAAATACTAAGAATTTTCTGATCCAGGAATATAATACTTCATCATTTTTTTGGTAAAGTCTTTCCATCCTCAATATTTTATTTTTTAAATCGTGTTTTATTTGGACTTTTGATTCGATCGTCACCGACGACTCGTTTTTAGACGGAAAGCGCGTCGACTTACAACCTATTATATCTTTGATGAATTTCCTTTAGTGAAATACCGTTCTCAAATTATAGCAGATCTACATTGTAGACCACTTAAGAAATCAACATGGTTACTCAGTTGTTTGACGAATAGCCTGTGTCTTGTAAACTATTCTTTCTAACGAAAAACGAAGTTATACTATTTCTCTTTCAAGTTTTCCGACGGTGAGATTGATTTTTTAACTTGTTAATTTGTAGATGAACACCAACCGTCTGTTAATCTGAGTGAACTTCACCAAGGCCAACCAGCACTGTGGGTACCACCACCACCACCGGATCCACCAAATCTTTATTTATTTTATGTCGTATTATAGTAAGATTAAAGAACTATGCATGATGAGTATTTCTCCTTCTGTTATATTCATAAAGTTCACTAAGTTAACGAAATCAAAATTAGGTTAACATAATTATTGATTATTTAAAGGAAAAATGAAACAGAAATTTGGGATAAAAAATATTCTGCATCAGTTTAAATGGCCAAGTGTAAAGTGGTATCTTATTTCGGTCTGCAGATATGCGCAAGTTATAGTTTATGCAAACATGATATCGTTTGTTTATACAACATATTAAAATCACATTTAAAATTCGAAGTAAAACGCATTTTGTATTGACCAAGGATAGTAGTACACTGTTGATCATCTAAAAAAGGAAACAATAAAATACACTGCAATATATGACAACTGAGACTAAACTTTAACAGGTATCCAGAACATTTATTAACATATTTCTTAAAAAGCATAGTTTCAACATGGTCAATAAGGTTCGTAATGAAAGCTACATTCCCAGTGTTTGCTAGATGTTTTGTTGCTCAGTGTATAACAATATGTGCATGATTTTGTTTCCTGTTGATACTATGTCGGTCATGTGTTGCCTGTTTTTTTATATAGAGTTAATTATCACCTTATTATCTCCTGCTTTTCTGTTCATCCCTAACAAATCGTGAAAATACTTTCAAAGTTTATGAATAAACGGAAAAGCGTTCCTTTTAATTGTTCTTGGAATTGAAAGGCTCCTTTTCATTAAAAAATATCTTTCACTTATCAATATGCACATAAATTTAGACAATCTATATATCTATTTATTTACATAATATATAAGGTTTAATGATTAGCTAACTATTAATTGGTTTTTGTAAGACATACTTTTTTTGTTTAAATAGTCTCTGTTTATCTGACAAATATAAGTATTGTTGCTATTTCTTGAACAACAATTGCTAAATAGTTTTTGGAAAGAGACTAGCCCGTTCTGAACATCCTTTAATAAATCTTTATTCTGAAGGTAGTTAATTCATTAAGCATATGTTACATATATTATAATGAGTACATTTAAACTATACTGTACAAATGAAGTAGTTGATGCACCCTGGACTGTTCATTAAACGGATAAAACAACTTCAAGATCAAATTGAGTTTTATCACGTTCAATTATAAGGGCTGTTATTTGCGTTTTGTTTTTTTTCTATTCTTATTTCATATGAAATACTTCTTTCTTCCGTTCGACAGTTTATAGTTTCTGTTGCTTATATCAACAAGTGAAAATTGTTGAACAAAACATATGGTCAAATAAAGAAACACATGCTCGAGCAGATGATGTTTTTTATTAAAATTTTACACTTTTCCATCTGGGGACCTCCGATGGCGGAATATACTGTATGGTGTGTTCATTGTTGAAAATTATAAGGTGAAATATTGTTGCTTGTCATTCATTTGTACTCTGTTTGCAGAAAGAGAAACGGTCAAGAAGTGAAAACAATTGGACGATACATGAATACTCTGAGTTTAATAAAGGGCTGAACAATTACATAATGCAAGTTATCAAAATCAAATCAAAAGCAGACATCTAATCCATGAAGCATGATATTTAAATTGTCTTTATAGATAATTAACATTGTTTGGTGACAATAATATAAGATAAGCAATTCCGTTCAATAAGGCATCAACTCAACAAAAACCTAAAAAATCAAAAGCTATCATATATCTATGGTATTGTCTTGAGAGGTTTAATTGTTATGTTCCAAAGATCAGTAGTGAAAACTATGTCAGATACTTAATTTAAAGTGCCGTCCACACCACAAATATCCTTCTTAAACAAACATAAGAACAATCACTGGTCAGGATTTTGACCTTCGATGTGCAATACAAATCTGCCGAAAATATTTTTTTTAAAGATACAAATTCTCCTTTTAATATCTTGCAATGGCGTCATCAAAGTTTATTACCTAAAAATCACTTTGGTCAAAGCACATAGCTTTACAACAGACCTATACTAAATACACTAGAATACGTACATTGTTGCACATGTAATCAGAATGAAAATTGTTCTTTATGAAGGATGGTATGAAGCCAGTTCAAAGCACATCTAGAAGTTTGAAAATTCACGTTCAAATTCGAAAATAAAATAAAACATACGTTTAAATAGACATTAATCATGTTCACCTATAGAGTTTCTATCGTATTTATTATTTGAGAAGTGGGACATGTGGAAAGTCATTCAGTCAACATGAATAAGTACATGAAGCAACGTTATTGTTGACTAACTATGCGGAACTCATCTATTCAATCGAACACTTATATTCTTTCACTGTAATGGATACCTAAACTCTCGAGGGGGTGGAGGTGGCACTTCATTACTTAATTAATAGGAAATGCCGCTGTGTTTCTGTTACCTCACCCTTTTAATGCTATACATGCATCACTAGTCGAGACTGATATAAGAACGCAGATAAGCATTACTTCATAACTTTGATATGTACAGATACTGGTGTATTGGTTTTATGGTTGTTTATCGCACATTTAATGTACATGTAGTTTATATTGTTATGCAGTGTCTAGTCACCAATTTTAGACTTATCTAGACTAAAGTGTGTACGTTTTGAAAGTAAGGAGAAATGCCATTGAAACAAATATCCATAGGGGATGAAAATATTATTAGCCTCCGACAGGCCTTCAATGACGTGAAATAACCATATCATTTATTATATATTTAGCAATTAAAAATTCCAAATTTAACAATAATAAGAAAAAAAAAAACAATTAAATCAGGAAATAAGGATTGTTTTCTTAACGATTCAATGTATAAAAATATTTAGACCGATATGAACAGCGACAATAATTTAATTACAGGCTCCTCACTTGGGACATAGAATTATTAAAATTCACTGAGCATGATATAATTTTCTATTCATAATATACATGATATAATAGAATTATAATTTGCAAATATTTAAATGTCGTGTCATTTTAATAAATATTATTCATTTAATGATTTTTTTTATATATTATACGATAGTAAACATTTTCAAAGGTACGCCGTTCACATATTGATGTTAATGTCTTTTTCTATCAATCGTTGCTTTTATTTTGTAATTTTATTTCTTCTGAAGGATAATATTTGCAATTGCATCCAATATATTTCACATAGAGGTAGTAAACAGATAAGAAAAGAACACAAATATATCGTTACAGTTCAGTTGACACACTAATTGAATTTTCAAATTGATAACGTTATATAATTATTTAGTACGTAATGTTTAATTGTTAACAAAATCAACAAAGTGTATTGTAGACAGGTACACGTTGAAAATCCAACAGGAAGTTTTATTTAAATAATCTTATTGCCGCTTTTTAGAAGTATATACTCTATTAAGTTTTAATATTTATTTTTTATTGTGTCGAAATTTATTTCATGTGTACGAGGATATGTGACATCAAATATCAAGTAAAATTATTGTATATACTAATACATGTAATAATCAGTGTAAAAAAATGTTTTTGCTTTATAAATGAAATTAATATAATGAATATAACATAATTTAGAAGTTGTAATTAAGTACAGGGGTAAACCATACAAAATATAGGATATAATGTTAAACTTATAATGAAATTAAAAACGTATATTTTGATTAATAAATAGTTATGTATTTAATATCATATTTTTACATAAATAAACTTTTAAATTGTTTATAGCAGAACAGTTCTATTTCGTATCCGTTGTGATGTTGGTACTCTTTACAGCATGTTCAACAATTTTAACACGAAACTACATGTATACACACAATACTCTTGAAAAAATATAAATAAGAATTTACATCATGATTGATTTCCGCCGCTAGCTCTACATTGACAACAGATTTTTCAATTTCTCAAAAGTAGTTTTCCTCTTAGTTATCATGGTTTAATTTCGACTTATAAAACTCTTTCCATCTTATGCAACTACCATCTAGGAAAGGTGCGTTATGTACAGACTGTCGATTAACAATTTCATTGATATTGAATCGAGAAGGTCACACAGTAGAGTACTCGAGCTCTCGGAACTTAAAAATACCATTATATCTCAAAGCTTTTGTCTGATATAAAAGCAGGAAGAGTAAACATGGGCCGTAATAGTTCATTAAAAAAGGTAAAAGAAGATTTGATGAGTTGGGTAAACTTGAATTTGATCCTTGCATTCTCTTTGTTTAATCTCTTTGCTCAAACAAAATATTGATAAACACGCTTGATTAGAATGATAAAAAGGTCATTGGTTAGGTGTATGACTATCTATTGTTTCCGTTACAGACTTTTTTGTTAGCTAGTATTTCTTACATTAAGATATGTGTTGCCATTTTTTTTTTATTCAGACAACATATATAATATATTATCCAGTTAATGGCGATACCAAGATACAAATAAACAATAATAATATAAAATTAAAATTAAAATATAATGTAAAAAACAACGACTTAAGAGATTGTAGTCTACAATGTGTGTGTATGCTTTTTTACCTATTTTCTAGAAAACTGCGATTTAGATCAGCCATGAGTTATATGACGAAGAGCATAATAGCATTGATCCCTGTTCTGACATTTGCATTATTAGTATTTAGCATAATTGCATTGTTTGTGTACAAGAGTAGATTTTGCTGCAAATCTAAAGGTATGTTTCTCGTTGTAATTTTTCGAAGCCTTTGTGGTGCGCTTGAATTAAGTTTAAAACAGAAATTATATGTACGTAATCGAGAACAGTTTTTGATAATATTTTGAGTTTTTTTTATCGCACGTATATGAATGGATATACATGATATACTTACGAAGCGTTGAGTATTCGTCAACATTCATTATTAAGTCTATAATTGCAAGCTTTATGAGCTGAATCGAAACCATATTACATACATATACCTACTTTAAGATTTAAAAGGATATTGGTTACAAAATCAAAACGGGACAAATATTAGAATATAAGGGTCTGAAAATACCAATAGACCTCAATACGGCTGAAATTAGACCACACATTCAAAGTTAAAGTTAGGCATGTATCGTGCTTTAGCCTTGTCTATTAATAGTTGTCTTTTGCCAATATTATGACAAACGAGACGTCTTTTTTAGTCTTATCCATATGCTACAGTGTCATATAAAGTGATAGCTCGTAAATGTTTTGTTATACAGTGTTCATTTGTCTTTCTTTTTATATAACTGAAATTAGGATGATATCTCTAACATGTCTAATAAACATTAACCTGATATTTACTAGGATAAAGATTTCTTTTATTGGTTAACTCATTGCACATGTTGCACTGATAAGTTGATTGTGAAGTTCAACTCTTTTTTTTACATGCTTGTCAAGTATAACATTCAATACATATAAAAAGGAACAGCTTTCTATTTGATGTTTGATTTATGAAATACAAGACATATCACAGACACATTGTATAACAACACCAATCTTAGTTTCTCTGTTGGTATATTCTTCCTATGTCTTTTTAAAATAAGTATCATTTCTTTGATATGTATATTTGTTTATATCTACTTGTTGAAACGTTACTCCTTAGCTTGAGTTTCTGAAGGTACAATCAGAGATTATGGATTGCTGCCTTCAAGGAAGGTGCCAAATCATGTAAAGAAAGAGTTGCAGTGTTTAAAGTTAAAAGCAGTTATCCACAAATGTTACGAACTTAACCATGCTCTGATTGATCACAGTCCAAATTCAGTTCTCTTTTTCTCACTTCCGATACCACCTTAACCAATAATAAATCGAAAATGTAGTTTTTAGCAAATTCCATGAGCAATACGCACCATTTGATACCGGTTTCCATTCAAATGAGTTCATCCTCCATTGTAGCACCACTGAATGCGTTTATTTAACTAACTTTACTTCTATTTGCAAAAAGACGAGTGCTACTAATGAAGGAAGACCTGCATAACCTTGAGGGTAAACGAGTTCATCTCCGCTTACTTGTGGGTTACTTTTATTCTGTGTAGTGTTTGAGAATATCTATTTGACTTTTCGTCGTTTGTTTTTTGCGTTGCATGTACTGTTTGTTTTCCCCTGACTTATTGGTTTTGATAACGTCCTTGTTATCTTCCATATTTCCTGTAATATAAGAAAGTGGATCTTTTTGCCAATGAGACAATTCACAACGAGGGACCACGAAATGTAGAATTAAGCTACTTTAGGTAGGCGTATATCCTTCAACAAAGACGAAACCCATACCACATTGCAAGCTATAAATTTCCCCGAAATGATAAATGTATTTATTTAAATTGTTTCGTTTATTTTAAGGTAGCACAATACAAATATTTGTTTCATCCCCAATCAGGCAACTTTAAACTGATGTAATTTATTTCATCCAGCTCTAAATTTTATAAATGAGGAACCAACAGAAAGAAGAAAGATTAATCTTTTAATTCTCTTATAAACCGTGAATTAAGTTTGCAAACTTAATTCGTAAGAAATCACTAAATCTAATTGAGTATAACATTTGTTCTATTGATATTTATGGAAATCGGAGACCCAGTTTTAAAGATAACTGGTCAAGGAACAACATGTGCTAAAACCATGCATATAAGGGCACCCATTTAGGAGCTAATGTCATTTAAAACTACATTTTCATGACAAAAATGTATGTGTCATAATTGAATAAATAAGGTTTTCATACTTGAACCTCATTTACTTCTATATAATTCACAAATGTACCATGAAGACACTTCAGGATTTGCCTTTTATAATAAATCAGTTAAGTTTTGACCAGTAAGAAATAACTCCACTTCAGCAATTCTAAATATATAAAGAAAATTCACATACTGTGCATCAAAAATCAGATCTGGCAGGAGAAGTTAAATCATTTTTGACCTTGATGTAATTCAGTTGCTACCGATATGGTCAAAACTCCGCCCACCTGGGTAAACTTGAACTATTACTGATCTCAGAAGGTTAATTACACATTGCATTTACTTTTTTCAATATGGATTTTATTCATTTAGTACATAAAACAATATAATTTGTTTTTAACATTTTCCTAAACAGTAAGTTATGCATGTGTACATAAATTGATCAGTTGGTCAGTCTAGATGATTCTTATGGTGTATGTCTAGAATTATAATTGTATTCAATGAAAATATGGTGTTTTACACATAGCATAATTTTTTATTTCTGTAGTTTGAAAAAAAAATGTGTTTCATAGCTGGTCAGTGGTCATAAAGCTATCAAATAATTCTATTGATTAACTACAAAGTACTGCCCAAATGTCCATATCTTGCATTAGTCAGATGCGTGCATTTGTTTATAAAACTAATTATCATCATTCTATTTAACATTGCAAGATTTGGAAACATATTTGTCTTCTGTAGTTTAGGAAAATTAAGAAGTAACAAAAACAGATGAAAATGAAATTTTGATAAAATGTAGAGGCTTTTGTATAGTGCTACCTTAATTCATATGTGTGTATGTTTTTTGTCGAAATAAGTTATCAGCAGAAAGTGTGAGTAATTTTTTGACATTTTTTATCATAGATGCAGAAATTGCGAATCAACAAAGAACAAAGATTTCAACAATTTATTCGGGTAATATCTGTTGCAGTCATCTTTCTATTTCTAAATGAAATTTGCTTGAAATTAAAAGAAAATACTGGTTCTGTGCAAATCAGACACCCAATTAGTACTGAAACGCAAAACAAATAAACACAATTATGTTAAAGATTATGCACATTTTAATGTTGTTTTTATTTGTCGTACATGTATAACACACATGAATGGTATCATGATTGATCAAATACAAGACTAACCAGATTTGTTTCTCTCTTCTGGCTGGCGATGCAATATTTCTTTTTAGTAATTGGATAGTATAAAAGGTATTTGAAAATAAGTCATAGAAAGATTTTTTTGCTTGTTTTATATTTATTTTATCTCATATAATGTTCGTTCGTTGTAGCGAAAGTTTAACATAATTTCACATTATTTGTGTAAAGAAAGCCTGCGTTAAAGACGTTTTCTGATACTAGAATTTAAATCTTATAATTTTAGGAAAGAATCGTTTCGGCCAAAAACCTTTAAAGAATGCTTAAGATGTAAAATTGTACAGTGAAACCCAAACTGTCGACAAACAACGATTACTATCAAATACATTAATGTTGTAAGAAACTGTAGTTTTATTTCATTAGTGCTAAAAATTGACCTAACACAGGTCATTGAAGCACTTTTTAATAAGTCTTCTTTTATATCGTAAAGTTGTTAAGAAATACCTATTGTTCCACAAGAAACTAACTCCATATAGGTATATAGGTATATAAGAGCAGGGAAAGAGACTGTATTAAATAACAAGGCCAACTCATATATCAAATTGTATTTTGTTACGTAATCATATCGTCACTTGTTTATTTTATGTTTTTCAGATAAAAGTATGAGTTGTGAGAAAATATCAAAATGTTTATGCTGAACATAACACATAACTCAATAATGTCGTTTTAAAAGACGACTTATGCGAGGTTTGAAGAACACATGAGAATCTGCAACAGATAATAAATGTATACATAAGACATTAAACGTCGCAATATGAATCAATTAAATATCATGATACAATGATTAACACTTTAAAGAAAGGTATAACAACAAACCATAAAGCACAAAGAAAAGAACCATACAGTCTTAAATCGAAATATAACGTAAATGTCACTTAGATAGATAAGAATAATTCAAACCAATCGAAACCTTCACATTACATCAGTATCTCAGTTATTATTTTTATATTTGCTAGTTCCGAAATTACACATGAGTTGGATCCATATGAGTAATATCTGATTATTTAATATTGTTCACCATAGGTGCGGAAAAAGCAAATCCAAAAAGAACAAATATTTCAACAGTTTCTTCGGGTAAGAGAGATTTTATTTCTAATGTAATTTGCTTGGAATAAAAGAAAAACGTGGCTGGGTGCATATTAGACAACTAATGAAGGCAAACTAAAAATAAACATATTTACAGGGTAAGATACCGTGTCAATTGCAATACACGTTGGTTTCTTTGATATGTATATATAACCAGTCTAAAAAGGTACAAAATCACCAAACATCTTAACTGACGTCATTTTGGAAGTTTTAGAGTTGTGCCAGTTCATATCTCTAATTACTATTTTCATTTTAGGCATGTCTTGGAGTCGTTTTTTGGAAAATTCAAAAATTTATAAGCGTCTCTACATATGATGTTCGGGTGAAACTGTTTCACTTTTTTATTGTACAGAATTCAAGATTGCTATAGTTTAATTATCAGAAAAGATTGATCTGATTTATTTTACATTGTGCTCATACTGATGAAGGATATCTGTTATCCGAAATATTTATAGTTACATTTGTTCGTTTCTTGTCATTTTTTTGATGATGTTGTACCCTTTTAGACTGGTTATATATTATATTTTGTAGTGTACTGTATCATATTTATATGATCCATCGCCCCGTAAGATTTATCGTTGGCTATTATTCAGTCATTTTATATATATATATATGTATATTGAATTAATAGTTAAGATCCATATTGTTATATCTGGTGATCCGTTTATTTGGCAATCGCCAATGGCAGTCAGCAGGGTTTAAGAACATCCGTTGTTCGACCTGCAAGTCAAATGCGTTTTGTTAAAATATACTTTTTGACTTTTTTTGGTCTTTTGGAAAATGTTGTTTGTGCTGTATTTAGACCCTCTACAAAGAAATTTGTTTTGCATGGACATGTATAACAATCAAACGCAATCATAGGTTTTACGTTGTTTTTAATTTAGACTTGTATATATATATATATATATATATATATATATATATATATATGTATTATCTAAAAGTCAACACGCAACTCTACAGCTTGTGTTTTCTAAGAGGAAACTAGAGATATTTGGTTGCTATTACAATGCACTAAATAAAGAGTTCCAGTTTTTGAAGTAGAAATTCTTCCTTTGAAAATGTTGCAGCCGTCATCATGCAGCCCTGTTTGCATATTTTGGTCAAATATCACCACAGTCACCATCCTGTTGTCTTGTACCCCTTTACGGTACCACCATCAGCTATAGTTCACCGAAAATGTACTGTCCATGACCAACACACACTATATGATAACGGCTTACCATTCTAATGAGTTTCTTCCATTGTAACATTACCGAATTTATTCTTCGAACTTTACTTTCCGTTTGCAATAGGACGAATACTACAAATGAAGGATAAACTGCATAACCTAAATTCCACACGAGTTCGTCACCGCTTATCTTGAGGGTTTATTATTTACTATTTAGTGTTAAGTGCAGTGGTTTTGAATTGTAATTTGACTTTTCATCTTTTTTCTCTGTTGTCCAGTACTCTTTTCCGCCGGCTTTTTGGTTTTCATTAACCCTTGGTATCTTCCTCATTTTCAGATATAAGAAAAAAGTGAATGTAGTATGATTGCCAATGAGTTAATTATCCCCCAGAGACCACATGACGTAGAAGTTAGTAATTATTGGTCACCAAAAGGCTTTCAATGATGAGGAAAACTCATACCGCAGTGCAAGCTATACATTGCTGCCTCGAAATGTCAAATGTAAAACAATCCATATGAGAAAACTAACGGCATGAATTATGTACAAAACAATAAACGAAAAAACAAATACTATATACAGCAACCAACGATAACCACTAAAATTATGGGCTACTGACTTGAAACAAGGAAAAAGAGTATATGACTGTCTTGATAAAAAAAAGGAGATGTGGTATGATCGCCGATGAGACAACTATATACCAGAGTTCAATGAAATGAACGTACGCAATTATAGGCAACAGTATAGCCTTCGACAATGAAAAAAACCCGTACCGCGTAGTCGTCTATAACACATGTTTGCGGGCGCCAAAATCCCCCACATAATATATTGGAATGGTGTAACAGCACAACATAAACACACCTATCAGCTAAAAAGAGCTTAAATGTTGATCTTTATCTGGATATTACCGTTTAACAGGAAACTCTTTACAAAAAATTACGACACTTTAAATTCTTTGCGTTTCCGATTGTTGTTTTTTTCTTTTTGGATGGCGATGTTCCTTCAGCATCCTCTTTCGGTGTGTATATTTCACAATTTGATCGCTATGATTGTGTCTGTAATAGGGTTTTAGGTTTTAATGAACGTATCTAATGTATAACTAGTAAACTATTAAGCAAGTGATTTCATTACCACAAATTATTTAACCCAACACTAATTCCTTCATAAATACAAAGATCTGGCTGTTATCAATTATACACATTAGTAAAGCCATTCAATGTTGTATTTATCGGTATAAACATAGATATTATTTTGTAAAATCAAATCATAACTAAATAGATATTGATATGTATGTACAGTTATGATTCTAAAGCCTGTTGATATTGTTACCTTATATTTTGGCATTGCACAAGGTCATGCGTTTTTCAGACTAATTATGAGTTATCACTAAATCCGAAGTAACTGATACTTTTATCTAGGAGAAGATATTTTTTTTTAATTACTTGTAATTGGTTCTGAACAATTTTTCAGTAACTGCGAGTACTCTTCTGTCGGTGCTTATCATCTATCGTTTTATGTTAGTTGATTTTGTTCCTCCTACCGATTGTCTGAGTTAATTCAGTTACATCTTATTTTAATAGTTTGTTTCAACGTTGTGATGTTACACCATTGTCCGAGTTTATATGAGGGTTGAACGCGCTATAATATATAATCCTGCCACTTCCTTTATGTGTCCATTCCAAGTCAGGAGCCTGTAGTTCAGATGCTGTTTTTGGTTCATGTCTGCGATATTTCATTTTTATTTGATTAAATTGCATTGTTATAGATTAAGCTGTTTTTTTTTATCATTTGAGTTATTTCATATTTCTGATGTCAAGGCCTTTTTTATAGCCGACAATACGGTATGAGGTTTTCTTATGGTCGAAGGTCGTACGATGGACTGAAATGCTTATATTTATTTTATTTGAAATCTAGTAGATGGTTGTCTCATTTACCATATTCATGATAATACCAAATCTTCTTATGCTAATAATAACTCATCTGATGGAACCAAACCACTAAGGCATCTGAAAAAACACTAAAGACACACATAACAGTATTTCAGTTCATATGTCAATATGTTCTTGTTTCGAAACTATGAATCAACAGAAGAAATGATTGGTTATTTCATATCAAATATCATAAATGCAGAAAACTGGAATCATCTAAGAAGTCCGATTACAACACCTTGCTCGGGTAAGAGAAATTGCACTGAAATAAAGTTCTGAGTGTACTTTCCTGAGAAATATAAGAAAATATCAAACAACCAATCAAGACTATGAAATAAAACAAATACACACAATTGTGATGTATAGAAGGCATATTTAAAGGATATTTCTTGTCGTTTAGAACACAGAGTGGGGGTCAGCATTGATTAAATGAAAGATCAAAAAGAGACTATAAAAAATTTCTGCATCAATTTAGAGACCCATCATGTCCTCTCGTTATTCAAAATATTGACCTTTCACAAAAAATCAGCAGTTTTGAATTTTCTGACTGGCTCGTATGATAAAAATATTTGACCGCATCAATCAAAACTGACCATATTAACACCTTAATATAAAAAAAATTATATAGGTGCATAATGAATCAGTAATTTTTTTAACTAAGGATGTATTTTATTTTAACATTTGACAGCAATATTGGTACACAATGACCATAATAACTAAAATTATTGTCCGCATCAATTTAGATAATTTCGTCTTCGTATTCATTATAATAAACCCTGATTAGTCGGTAGTTTTCGTATTTCAGGATGGTTTGAATAACGTGTATCTGTAGTCTCATGTATACCAAAACTATTTGACCGCATCATGATTTGTTGTTGATAGCTAAACGTCCAGGGGCAAATATTTCATTTATG